TGTAAAAGGAAATCGCCAGTTCTTTTTGATACTGAGACTGATGTTATGCGTCCTACTAAATTTCCAAGAGTTGATGATGGTGGACAATTAGTAGATGTGGTTAGAAGATATGTACATCAATTTCAGGATACTAATGAACAATCAACAGTTAATAATAACCAGCGACGAGGAAATTTGTATTCCGGTACTGAAGTTCCATTGGATCCTCAGATGTCACGTTTTGCTCCCTTTTCAAGCCAACTCACTTCGGAGCAGGTTACAGAAATGAACTGGATGCAGACTCAGGGTATTAATCAGGTTAGTTGATGATTCGCGTGAATTCTGAATTAATGAAAATTTCTTTTTGAGAATTTTGAAATTCTAACTATGTTTTGTTGATTTCTGTGCAGATGGAAGTATATAGAGTTGATGCAGTAGATGGCTCAAATCCTTTTTATAATAGCCATGATACCGATAATTACAGCCAACATGACCATGTTCAGTTATGAATACTTTAGTATTTGACCAAAGTGCATAGGTTAGTTCATGAATTCTTTTTGATTGAGAATGCCCAGGCTAAATATGGATTTGTTTAGAAGTTGTAATTTTACATTAACATTGTAATTCAGATAGTATCATAAACTCATAATTAAAGGTCAGATTTTTTGCAAAACATGTATGCATTAATTAAAATTTCTTTGGAGACATCTGAAGTTCTGACTATATTTGGTTAACTATTTCTCTGCAGAAGGAAACAAATGCAGCTATGTATGCGGATTTTTCTACAGATACGATTCCCTTCCCCAGTGAAAATTCAGTAGAGCTTTCGAATCCTTCTCACGAAAATCATGATACCCATGATTATTATCCTGCAATTGAGCCTGTTGATGTGGATGAGCAGACCTATGAATACTTGCTAGAGGAAATCAGAATATAGGAGACTTTAAAGTCATCCTTAGTATCAAACTCAGCCTCTGCTTTTTGATCAAATTGAACACGGGTCTTTTCTTCAAAGAAATTTTCCTTCATTGCCGCATCAGAAGGATTAATATCTTCAATCATTGAGCCTGCCAGTTCTTGGTTATCACTGCCATTTTGTACATGATCATCGGATAGTAAGTTGATTTCCATCCCAGTTATGTCGTTTTGACAGCTGCTATGCAAATAAACTCCTGACATGTGAGTATAATGATCCATTGCATCTTAATCTAGCTTGCCTCATCCATTTTATAAATCATTACAGAGAAGTGGAAGATTTTGCACGGAGACTGAATTCTAATTGGCCTGAAAGAATGCAAGAAATCCTATCTCTAGGCCAGGATATAAGGCTTGTTTCGAATTTGCTGAATGGGAATAGTTCCCTTAGAAGATACACAGGTTTGCCTTCTCTTCCATTCTCTGTCGTAGCATGCTAAAATTTATTGACAGCCTTTTGCATTACTTAACCTATGAGGTGATCATTTTTTCTCTTGTTATTCTTATGTAGCATATGCATCAGTTCTATTGGAATCTTTTAATATTCTTTATCTATCACATTCAGGATCTCGAACCAAATTGGCATTTGATGCATGATAGGCTTCAAGCTGTCAAAAGCATAGATGAGGTTCTTTCTTTTGAGATTCCTTTGCGCAACCACATATTGTTTGCATTTGTATGCTACTTGATATAAATATATGTCTGCGGTTAATTAATTGTACATTTCTTTTAACTCCGTAATACAGGTCATCTAGTTCCATGATTTCTACCTCTAGAAATGCTTAAAGGAATGCTTGTTTCTCTTGCTGCCGCAAGTTCTGAAGGTCAATTTTTTGTTATTGTTCTGAAGGTCAATTGATTGTACATTTCTGAAGCATTGAATGTTCTTGACTCTTGCAGTTCCGATTGTAAATAAACATATAAATAGAAAATTAGTTATTTATCTATGTTAACAATTTATGTATCGCTCTAGTGTTTTGGTGAATGTATTATTGGAATATAATTGAATTTGATATTGGAATAAAGAGTTGCAAGAACAGCTTCAAGAGACCCAACAACTTGTAGTAACTCAACAACAAAAGATCGATGCACAAAATGAGGTAATACAAAGATTGGAGGAGCAAGCTAAAAAGTTTGAGGAGTTTATGGCTAATTTTTCTAGGCAACATCCATCAGCTTAGTATTCTTAGTAAACTTAAACTTGGAGAAATGTTTCTTTGATCGTGTTGCATTTGTTATTGCTTTAGACTAGCATTGTTACTTATGATAGAAACTTGCTTGCTTTATTTATTTTAATTATTTTGATGTACTGTGGTGACAATTGATGACAATTATTTATATTTTGAGTGTTTTTCTCGTAATAGCATTATTATTGATGAAATAAAATTTCCTCATTATAAGTATACTACTTACGTCGTCAAAAGAATATTTCCTCGTTATAGAGTATACTGCTTACGTCGACAAAAACATATTTTCTCGCTATAGTGATACAACCTATAATGGCAAAAGTAATTTTCCTCGCTATAGACCATATAACCTATATCGACAAATGTAAATATCCTCGTCATTGAATTTCTTTGGCGAGGAATATGGGGTACAAGCTACAATGACAAATTTAAATTTTCTCGTCTTTGAGTCCCTTTACTGAGAAACTGTTTCCACGAGAAAAAGATACATATAATGAAGAAAATCAATTTCCTCGTTAAAGATTTACCTTTGGTGAGGAACGGTTTCCTCGTTGAAAGATACTTACAACGACGAAAATAGTTTTTTATTACTTTTATTATATATAAATTAAATATTATTCACGTATCATTAGCGAGGAAACTATAGTTTAGCGATGAAAAAGGTATGAGATTAGGTGAGGAAAAATATCGAGGCTAAAGAGTAACAACGAGAAAAGAATATATTCATCGCAATAAGGATTTCGCGGGAAATTATAATATTCATCGCAGAAACTTTTCTTGACCACCCTACCGCGAGGAAATGGTGACCAAAGTTTTTTCCTCGCCAACACACTACGGCGAGGAAATCTCGACTTTCAACGACAAAATTGTTCCTCGCAGATTAGCTTTTCTGTTGTAGTGCAACTACCACAAATTTTAATTTCTTCAAACTGCAATATTACAATAACAGAACCTTTAGTGCTTCCTCCCATGTAGGTAGATACTTGCTCAGCAATATGACCCCACAGTATGCAGTTCAATTTGTTCTTGTAGTAACAAACAGGATATTAAAATTTTATACAACAAACTGTATTAGAAAGTTTAATTTATTTAGTCAAAAAATACTTAACATCTTCCAATTCGATATTGAGTCGCTTTGTAAGTTTTCCATCTACATCAACTAATTCGATACCATCCTAGTAAGCTCTCCTATAACACTTGAAAAAATGCAGTATGATTTATCATAAAATTGCTTATTGAAGATTATTGGGTGTCTAAGAAATGAAGATTTTAATTTCTTACCTACTAACTATGTATTGTCCAAACGACTTCGAATGATATCATCGAAAGGAGTAAATCCAAACCCATATTCAGCAATGTTAGCTCCATTTAACTCTTTAATAGAGGTGTAATTGTAAAGTTAATCTTATATGGATGATGGCTACAGTTGTATTTTCCTCTGGCCAACTCCAAAGTTTGAAATAAGAAAAACCTTCCCTTCCTTAAATATTGATCGGAACTTATCAATTAACATCTTCTTAACTGATGCTTGGATTTTGCCACCCTGCTTACAACGTGAGATTTAGTTACTTTCAAGCATGGAAGAAGTAAATAATATTAAGAAAAATAAAATAAATTTGGATGACACGTGATACCTTTTCATCTAATAATGCCATTCGAATACTATATATGTCATTCAAATTTTTAAGACTTTGCCTAGTCCATAGTCTTATCAAACGGACCTTTATCTTCCAAGTTTCTTTAAGTGCGTTAATATCATTCACAAAATTGTATTTTTGTGCCATGTCCTGCACTGAGTTATAAAATAAAATTTTTTAAAAAAGAATCACAAATATCAAAGAGACTCATACATGCAAAAAAAATAGGTATGTTATAAGGAACTAATCACATGTCCGTTAATATAATTTTATATGCTGGCATAAAAATGTAACTCGACTGGCTTAAACCAATAAAATTTCATATCCCTCATAGTGACAACTATAAAGCTAATGCACGGACTAATATTAGCTTGTGGTTATAATCTTAAATAAAATTAATAAAATAAAAGTCTTCATAATGAGAATAAATTTTTACAGGCAAATTATAATTTTCAAAATTTTAGCAGTAATTCATGAAGCAATCTCAAAATGATCATCAGGAGAACCAATATTCATAGTCCACATATGATATTAATCAAAATCATCTTAATCACACCAAATCTAGACAGGTAAAAAATCTCTTAAATGACAAACAACGCAACCTAATACAATGTACTAAGGAAAAATCTATTAAAAATATTAAAATGAATAATACAACGCACCTTTCTAGCTTGCGATACAAGTGAAAGAAGATGCCTTCACCCGATCTTATATGAGAGAGGAAGATGGTAGAAGTGCCAAGTTTTATTTAAAAGTTGGAAGAAGAATCCGAATAGTTGCAGCCCGCTTTTCAATTGTACGTACCAACTTAAAGAAATATTCCATAAGATTTAATGATGAAATCCTAGCAATAGAAGTGTGAATACTCCTTGGAGATGTCATAATCAGAATTTGTTACTAGTAGAAAATAACATATCTTAGACGGATTATTCTAGACGAAATTTTTTCCGTCTAGTTTGCTATTAAACTAGACGGAAAATTTTCGTCTAGAATAATCCGTCTAGGCTAAAACATTCTAGATGGAAATTTCCATCTAGGAAAGCAAAGTAGACGGTTTATTTTTTTAATTTTTTTTTTAAATTTACCAAGTATTCTAGACGAAAATTTCGTCTAGGATACATCCTAGACGGAAATTTCCGTCTACATACTTAGACCATTTTAAAAAAAATTAGCCCATTAAAACTCCTCACGCCCTCCTTTCCCCCTAAAATTGAAAATTTCTTTCCCCCAAAATAAAAAATTTCAGGAACCCCCCAACCCCCTCCCCCATCCTCAATTTCAGGGACCCCCCTCAATCCTCAACTTCAAGCTCTCCATCGACATCGCCACCCATCTCCAATCATCTGAGATCATCAACTCCGATAAGATCCAGGTCTACCTCAGCCTCGACATCACCACCAACAAAATCCCCTCCGCCGACCACCGCGGTGTCCCCCGCCACCTCCTCGGGTCCCACGACCCCGCCTCCTCCTTCTCCACTGACTTTTCCTTCGCCCTCATCCCTGAGTACCCCAAGCTCGGCAGCCACGCACGACTTCGCCTTCGTCCTCTCCCCAACTACATCACCAACTCCTCCGACTACATATTCGCCGTCGAGTTCGACACTGTACAGGACTTTGAGTTCTTCGACATCAACGACAACCACGTCGGCGTCGACATCAACAACCTCACCTCGAACAAGTCTGCCGCCACCGCCTACTTCGACGACGCAGGCTCCAAAGTCGGCCTCAACCTTAAGTCCGGCGACAAGATCCATGCTTGGATCGCCTACGACGGCGCTGCCAAGCTCCTTAACGTCACCCTCTCCCCCTTCTCTAGCAAACCCAAAAACCCCCCTCTAATTGGGCTGATTAATCTCTTGCTAATTTATTGATTTTAGGAGTTGCAAGCTAACTATTTGATAGAATGCCTCTTAGTAATTCAATTTGATTTCTAGGTTTATGAATTTGTTCCTTTATTTGAACTTTTTTGGCCACTATTTTTAAGGGAATTCAGCTCTCAATGACCTTTTGTAACCTATTTTCCTATCAAAATGCATGAATAATCAATTTATTCACCATAAGTAGCAGAATTCAAACTCCATTTCTGGAGGGAGACTGTGCTTTTGCGAGATGACTTAGTTATATTCCTTGGGTAAATGAGGTGCATTTTGCATTGACATCTTTAATGTATGTGCAGGAAAAGTTTCAGGGATATTTGTGTCGTGAGGGGGAGAGACTTCGACAGCAGGATAGAGCTGTAATGGCTGCAGAAAACCAGGCAAAGAGGGGTTTAACTTATGTCTAAACTTGAACTCTTGTTCGAAATTTAATTCAATGGGATTTTCATTTTCTTCTTGGTCATTGGTGACGTAATAATCTTGTCGAAAAATAATTACTGAATTGTTGGCTGCACTTTGCTTGTTACAAGCACTTAGTCGTTGGGTATCAAAGGACCATGTTAGCAGCATGCACTGAAACTAATTCAGATCATAAATTTCTTGGGGTTGTATTCAAATTCATTGATATTTTCTAAATCTTTATTGCAACTAGGAGGTCTTACTGGTTATATTGAAGTTTATTGTGTGTTTTTAAACATTGTTATTTCACTAATAATGAGGATCTTTGAATTTCTCTTTCACTAATAAATTGATTATTCATGCATTTTGAATCTTTGAATTTCTCTTTCACTAATAAATTGATTATTCATGCATTTTGATAGGAAAATAGGTTACAAAAGGTCATTGAGAGCCTCTTTCACTAATAAATTGATTATTCATGCATTTTGATAGGAAAATAGGTTACAAAAGGTCATTGAGAGTAGAATTCCTTTATCAGATGATGTTTGCTGATAGGGATTTCGAGAGGAGATTTGGGGATGAGCCGTCGATGACTTCGGTCTCGGTCCAGAATTGGATCGAGCGGGGTTACTCTGTCGTCGGCGTTCAGTGTCGAGATCGTCCGAAGCTCCTATTCGATGTTGTTCGCACGCTTACAGATTTGAAGTATGTGGTGTTTCAAGGCACAATCGATACCGACGCTGATCGCGCTCATCTGGTACTAGTATTGTCCTGTTTTAAAAATTCTTGTTTCTTTTGATCTCTTTGCGACATTGGATTTTTTTTACACGCATCAGTATGTTAGTTGAGTGCATGCTTGTGTCCGAAAGAGCTACACGTTGAGTTTAACTTCTATACAATGCATGTGAAAGTTGTAGGAGGTGGGATATCATCTTTGCAGGTACTCCCCTTAAGCTTCCAATTGTCATTGATAGAAAGTTGATGGAGTAAATGGTTTAAGAGAGTAGACATGTATGCAACTGCTTCAATGGGCTTGTAATAACTTAGTTAATGGAGGAAATGAACATGGTAGATTTGAATACAATGTTGCATAGCTGATTATGTTCACTAGTATAAGCTAAACAAGTTTCAAATCATTGAACTCTAATCAAGTAAAATCTAAATTTCGAATACAATTATTTTGTCTTTCACAATTACCACTAAAAGAGTTGATTCTCTTTTTCTGCAAATTCTGTAGTTGGAAATATTGTATTGTGTAGGTCATGTTTGGTACTTAGCTCTAATCGAGGGTACTTGTCTCAAGGAAATGCCAAAATACGTGGAATTTTTCTCTTCCCTGCAATGAAGTTTTCAGTTAACATACATTTATGTGTTTGTTTCAAAATACGTGGAATTTTTCTCTTCCCTGCAATGAAGTTTTCAGTTAACATACATTTATGTGTTTGTTTAAGTAGTCGTTTTTTGCTCACCATCTTTTATAAAGGGTCTTCTTTATGAATCAGTTTGTACATATATTGATGCATTGCTTGTGTCCTTATGTTACACTCAGGATGATGAGGAAGAGGGTGAAGAAGGAGAAGAAAATGGCTTGAGTAAATGTATAGGGTAGGAGTTGAAGAAGCTTCTACAGTGTCATAGCCATTATAAATAATTTATGTAAAAGTTTATAAACAATTTATGTATCTCTCTACTATTTTGGTGAATGTATTATTTGAATATAATTAGATTTGATATTGGAATATAATTAGATTGTGTTGGATATGAATATAATTTGTTGTTGTTCAATATTGTGTACATGCACTCAAAGTAGATTCTACAAAAAAAAAAAAAAATTGTAGTATAGCATCCTAGACGGAAATTCCGTCTAGGATGCTCAAAATTCTATCTAGGATGCTTTTAAAAAAAAATTTAAATAAGCCTTCTAGACGGAATTTTCGTCTAGGATGAGTATCCTAGATGGAAATTCCGTCTAGGATGTTTTGGATATCCTAGACGGAATTTCCGTCTAGGATATCCATCCTAGACGAAAAATTTTTCCATCTAGGATGGATATCCTAGACGAAAATTCCGTCTAGGATAATCCGTCTAGGATGTATTCTAGATGGTTTTGAATTCCGTCTAGAATAATCCGTCTAAGATGTATTCTAGATGGAATTTCCGTCTAGAATACTACATCCTAGATGGAAACTTCCTAGATGCGTATTCTAGACGAAATTCCGTCTAGGATACTCATCCTAGATGGAATTCTGATTTTCCTAGATGGAATTTTCCGTCTAGGATGCCTCATTTTTTACTTGTGTGTGGATGAAGAGAGATTAAAAATTTTAATTACCTTTGTAAAAAAAGAAGATAAATAGGATGGGTAGATGAAAGAGCGATGGGCAATATATATAGTTATGGAGATCAAGAGATGAGATGGGGAAGATGAAGGGGAGTTGGGGTTGAGCATAATGATTGGTCGTAAAGATAATTCAGAATTAGAATTGTGTGGAGGGAGAACTTGGGTAAATAATTATTGTGAAACTAGTTTCAAACCCGTGCGATGCACGGATTTATATTCAAGTATTATGAAAAGTTCTTCGGATCTGACATATATTATCAACAAATTATTCATAAAATTACAACCCTCTTTCACAATTGTTTATGACACTAGGGGTATTTTGTCAAATGAGAACTCTTCTCCAGGAAGAAAGAGAGAATAGATTCAAATAAATGAGATCCAAAGTATTTCACATAGAACCTTGGTCAACAAAAAAAATCCCAAAGTAGAAAAAAAATCAGGATAAATAAATATGAATATACTCATCAAAATAACATAATCAAACTAATTATTAAATAAATCAACAAATGAGATGGTTACTTAGCAAATCAGTAACCCTCCCAATCCCCGTCACTTTTCTCTTTTTGTTCTCAATGGTACTTTCTCTTTTCCCTCTTCAATGAAACCCTCCCAATCCCACCTCCTTCAACTGCTCTCGCACACTCATCAAAGAAGATGACAACCAAATTTTCTATGCCTCCATCACATTCCCCATGTTTGGCTTGATAATGGACTCGAGCTTGAAAAGCTACTAATTTTTGTTTCCTAGTTGTATGTGACGCCTCTGGTTGCACACAAGGCTGCAGTCCAAGATGAATCCAAAAATATCAAACTAGTCATGCACTCATATCGTGCATCAACACGTTTCACCATCACTGTCATATCTCTCTAGTGGAATCAAATAATGAACAAATATAGGTACAAGGAGATAGAATAAAGATAATAATGCAATGAACATATATAGAGAAAATATATTTAGAAATAGTCATAATCATGTTCCAACTGAAATAAATGAAGTATAACTGATGTCTAAAATATAGATAAAATATCTCAATACATAAGAGTCAATTGAAATAGTACTAAGGCTCACAACTTTCCAAAATGAAATACAACTCAAATATTTGAAAATAAACCATACTACTGTGGAGCACAAATAAACTACTAATAATAAATAATGATGGAAGCTAAACCGAAACTCCATCAACCTATGACTCTTCGAGTGCCTGACTCGCTGCCTAAATAGAGGGGTGACAACGAGCATCAAAGTGCTAGCAGGAACATCTCCACAGCCCCTAGGAGAGGGGGTACGTGTAGGAAAATACAAGTTAGTACATATAAATATATAAATCATTTATTCTGAACTAAAAGGAAATTAAGATTTAGAAATCCACAACATGAGAATTAGTACGTCGAGCAAAATAATCCAAACAACGAAACCCTCATGTATATACCATGTCTCAAATTATGAATCGCTAAATCTCAACTCCAAATCCTATTAATAAAACAATAAATAAAAGGACAACACATTACCAAATCTCATCCAATACAAGTCACGTCAAATATCTCACACTACCCTCGGGTAGATAGAGCAGTCATAAGAATAAACATCCGGTAAAATAAATCTCGCATAGAATATGTCGTGTAAGACAACATCAGTCTTATACCCTACTCTCGGGTAAATAACATGGGAGCATGAATGCAAATCGGTATGATCCTCTAACATAAAATAATGATGATGAGTAAGATGCTCACAATATCCTGTGGCATCACCTACCTTACTCAATCGCCCTATGGAAATAGGCGTGTCAATAATGATGCACATGGAGTGAAGCCTACAGCGATCTCATTGCAGTATACCAACTAACGCACTCTGAGTGTAGCCCCCGCGGTCTCATTGCAAAGTGCTAACTAACCCACTCAAGCATCCAAACTATCATGAAATACAATATGTGTCACTCTCTATCATGACAAATGCAAAGTATAGGATACGTATCTCCAAACGCTCGTGCGTGCTCAAATGCAATACGCGTACCCTCATATACGATGCACGTATATCGATGTGTGATTCGTACTTCGTGTGTGTGAACAAAACACATGAAATAAAACTAATATGCACAAAACAACCCAGACCAGTCGATCGATCATGTGCCATCGGTCGACTGATAGCTTGCATAAGACGTGCACAAGTGTCTTGATCAGTCGACGGGTGGTCCATGACTAGTCGACCGATCAGAGCAATCACACACCCTGCTAACAAGTCATTGGTCGACTAATCATCCTTGATCGGTTGACTGACGAGATGTAAAAATATAGATTTCTGTAATAAACTGATACTCTCATAAATAAAAAAAGAAAATTTTCATTAAGACCCATGTATTAAAACTTGTTTAAGGTATATTTAGGTTTATTTTATTGCATGAAATCACGAATACAAATCTGGGAAAATAAATCTAAAACCCTAACATGTTAATATGTGTAAGATCATCACGAAACAAATGACTTTAACCAAACTCATATTAAATCACGTTCAAAACTTAAACCCAAAACTGGAATTCCATTTTATATCTTTTTAAATCAAAAAGATTAGATCTTTATATCATACGGTTCAAAAAGAAGTGATCTTTATTCATAAAATATTTTTAGAAATCTGATAAAATCGTTTAGAATAAAAAAGAAACAGGAGATGAGTTTGGAGGAGATGAAACTCGCCTCAAAACGTGCTGAGCTCCCCAAATATGCAAGAAAACACGATCCTCCTTCACCAAAAGCAGCGAATCTCACACTATTCTTGATTTTACTTATCAAAGCTCTCAAAATTCACCAAAGTACGTTCTAGGGTTTTGACGGGTGAGGGTGGCTGTTTATTTACATGAAAGATGAAGAAAAACAGGAGAAATATCGTATATGTATATATATATATATATATCTAATAATATATATTATATATATATATATATATATATATATATATATATATATATATATTATATATATAATATATATATATATATATATATATATATATATATATATATACTATACACACACAACAATAGGCCGAACCGAACAAAACTGACCCGAAATAAAAACCTGGATTTGGTGCAGCGCCGACCGTCGGTTGACTGCATGGCTCTGCCTACCAGTCCGACTACAAGCAGGAGCATCGTTCGACTGATGGCTTTCCATTGGTCGACCGATCAGAGATGCATTCTACCGACAGGTTTTTGTGTGTTGTGCATGTTTACACTATTAAACATGTATATATGTACTTAATCGATCTCAAATCGATTACAAACATACTCATTCATCCCAGAATAGTATCAAACATGATAAAAATTATTTAATATTATTTTTCACAATATATTTAATTTTATGGGGTTTTACATTGTATGCAATAAAATTCAAGTACATTAGCTCTTTATATAAAAATTAAACATTGATGGAGATCTTTAAGAGAATCAGGATGTGACTCCTAAATTGTATTAGGCTTTGTGAAAGTGTGCACATTATTTTTATATCATTTATATTATTTGTATACGCAACCTCAGAGAACAATTTAATTTTATGTGGAGATTTATTCAATTAAATTGAACACCTTCTTAACATGTTTAGAAAAGAAGTAAGAAGGTCTCTTTTTAACATGTTTAGAAAAGATGTAAGTCGGTCTAGTAAAAGAAATGATTATGGCACAAAATCAAGATTAAATTAAATTTGAATACTAAGATAGAATTAATCATTGAAAAAATATGTCACAAAAATATAATTAAGATAATATGGTAATCATGTTGGCCCTTGCACATGAATTTATTCACAAATCTACTAATTAATATCAAACTACTACAAAAGTAATTCTCTTATTTAAAATCCAAGAAATATATTTTACAACGTAATTTCAGCAATAATTATAATCTAAACTTTTTAAAGCAGGTTAAAGGAAGAGTACATTAAACTTGATAAAGGCAAAAACTCAAAACACCTAAAACACAAAAAATGAACTCACCTTCCCATTAGGACCTCCGTGGCCATCACTGTGACCACAAACTTCGTATGCACCTTGTAATGCTCTCTCAAAATCCTTCGAGAGCTCTATCTTCTCATCCTGCACCGTTAGGAAAGACAAAGATTTTCACAAAGAAAGGATTTCTTAATTCAAAAAAGGTGTAAGGATATATAGAATTTCTTTATTAAGTTCTCGCTAATTTGTAACAACTTAATAATTTTGCATCTATGAGAGTTTTGCCTGAAGTTTTTAAAATAATTTAAGATATCTAAAATAATTTTGCATCTATGAGAATTTTACCTAAAGTTCTTAAAATATTTCAGACTATAAAAAATAATTTGCATCTGTGAGAATTTTGCGTAAAGTTTTTAAAATACTGATATAAAGGAAAAATAATTCATGCAATCAATAAATTAACAAA